TAAATATATAATTCTCAAAATAAAAAAAAAAGTTAACATGACCCTTTAACATATGAAGACAGTTTCACTCATAAGAGAAATGCAAATTAAGACTATGTAAATATACAATTTCCCACCCATCAGGCTGGCAAAAGGTCAAAAGCTTAAAACTACAGTATTTGTTAGGGCTGTGCATAAACAGGCATTTTCACACATTGCCAGTAAACAGAAAAAACAGTAAAACCCTTATAGAAGAATATAGTAATGACTATGGCAGGCAGGCCCTGTAGTGGTACTCCCACGCTCCCTACCTCCTGGTCCCCATGTCTTGCTTCTAACCAACAGAATATAGCAAAGGTGATGAGATGTCCCTCCTATGATTGTCATTATTATTATTATTGAGACAGGCTCTTGCTCTGTTGCCCAGGATGGAATGCAGTAAGGTTATCACTGCAACTTTGAACTCCTGGGCTCCAATGATCCCCTCGCCTGGTGTCTGCCTCCAGAGTAGCTAGGACTATACAGGTGCATGCCACCTCACCTGGCTAATTTTTAAATTTTTAGTAGAGATGAGGTCTCACTATGTTGCCCAAGTTGGTCTTGAATTCCTGGCCTCAAGTGATTCTCCCATCTTGGTCTCTCAAAGTACTGGGATTATAGACATGAGCCTTGACACCCAGCTCTATGACTGTTCAACACTGTAAGACGGTTGACAGCTTGCTTGATATAGACACCATCCTTGCTGGCTTGATGAAGTGGTCCTTTTGGGAAAGACAAGGAACTGTGGGTTGCCTCTAGGAGATGAGGCAGACTTCCAACTGACGAACAGAGAGCAGCTAAGACCCTCAGTCCTACAGTCACAATGAAAACAATTCTGCCTCAGTACTACAACTGCAGTTAAACAAAATGAAACATGAGTGACAGATTCTTCCCCAGTCAAGTCTCCAGGTGAAAACACAGCCCAGCAGACATCTGGATCGCTGCCTTGTAAGCTCCTACCCAGAAGAACCAGTTAAGCCAAGCCTAGACTCCTGACCTATAGAAACTGAAATCAATGTGTTATGCAGCAATCCCACTTCTAGGAATTTAAATTAAAGATACACTCTCCGGCACACATACCCGATGAAAGGAACTATCTAAGGATTTTTCTGCTAGCAAATGAGAGCTTCAAGGTCTTGATGCCAAATACTATATATCCTTGACCATTTGAGATGTGATTGAATATCACTTATATCTGAGCTCTAAATGTACATTAATATGCTGGGTCAGTTAAGAGCCCAGGCACCAAAGGTCTTCAAGTTTGTTTTTTTTTTTCTTTGAGACAGCCCTTGCTCTATTGGCCAGGCTGGAGTTCAGTGGCATGATCTTGGCTCACTGCAACCTCCGCCTCCTGGGTTCAAACAATTCTCCTGCCTCAGACTCCCGAGTAGCTAGGATTACAGGTGTGCACCACCATGCCCAGCTAATTTTTGTATTTTTAGTAGAGATGGGATTTCTCCATGTTAGCCAGGCTGGTCTTGAACTCTTGACCTCAAGTGGTCCATCCGGCTCAGTCTAAGTGCTGGTATTATAGGTGTGAGCCACCACGCCTGGCCAGGTCTTCAAGTTTTAAGAGTTTTTTAAAAATTAGAGCTGCATTTTTCTTCAGGATGATCCATGCCCAAATACAGAACCATGTTGACAGTGGGTTACAGAGTTTGCATGGGAAAGTTCAAGTTGTTACACTGTGTTTTTAAAAAATCTTATCTACATGTATTGTTAAATCAGAGACCATGAGATCTACTTATCAGAACCAGGAAGATAAATTCTTCAGAGCTATTTCAACTGATACTTCTTTTCCTCAAAACTTGGTGGACTGTTGGGGAAAGGGCCCCACCATTTTTTGTCTTTGATATTAGCTCCAATTCTCATAAGTACATATAGGCCCTATAATTGCAGCAGAAAAAAATGCATGATGGAAAATTTCCATAACCCATGCACTGAGACCTGAAAAATCATCCTTACTGGGTATAATTTGTTATGATGCAATTAAGTGCCAACTGATATTTCTCACCATGGACTGGTCAGGAACTGCTGCAAAGAAAAATAAACAAACCCTTTGGCATTATTTATATTCTAAAATTTGGTAAGGGAAAATCAGAATAAATTAGTTCTGAAATTATATTACGGATTTTTTAAAAGATTATCAAATAAAGTTATTTTAAAATAATTAAAGTTATACCTCCAATAATATAAAAATACATATGCATAAAGTTATTAATTTTAACATTATGTATAATTGCTAGATACTGCCAACTACCTAAATAGCCTAATGTAGGAGAAAGTTGGTTGAATAAACTATGATACATCCAAATAACAGAATAATCTTCAGCTGGGGAAAAAAAATGACTGAAGAGCTCTATGAACTGATAGTATAGCTATTTCCAGAAGACACTAAGTGAAAAAAGCAAAGTACAGAATAAATGTATGGTGCACTATCTTTTGTGGATGACCAAAGGGGGTAACTATAAAGAAAAACAAAAAAGTCAGGCATGGTAGTTTATGCCTGTAATCCCAACATTTTGGGAGGCAGAGGCAGGAGGATCACTTGAGGCCAGGAGTTCAAGACCAGCCTGTTCAACATAGCAAGACCCCTGTCTCTACAAAAAATATTTAAAAATTAGCTGGGAGGCTGAGGTGGGAGTAATACTTGAGCCCAGGAGTTTAAGGCTAGAGTGAGCTATGATAACAACACTGTACTACAGCCTGGATGACAGAGCAACACTTTGTGTCCAAAAAAAAAAAGAGAGAGAGAGAGAGGAAAAAAAACACATCTACTTACTTTCTTTAAAAAAAAAAAAAAGAATAAAAGCATGAATAAACAAGATGCCAATGATACTGATTATCCAAATGGGGTATAGAATAAAGGGAAGGGATAAAACACTAGGGGGCTGGGGATTGAAGGGAGAGCTAATTTGGGTAAATTGCAATGAATAAATTCACTATACCACCTTGTCTAAAGGAAAAATAACTATTAGCAAATCCCGAACTCTTTTTAATAGGTTTCTTTTTCACAGAGGTATGAATGAAGCAATTCTGAAACCATTCTGTGTGTATTGTAGACAACTGGGCGAGTAAGTAAATGTACTGATGTTGTTGGAAGCAAAGTGAGAAGAGGGAAAACCAAGGAGAATCCTATAGAGTTGGGATTGGAATTAAGAGTTATCAGTATGAACCACAGTAAATTATGAAACTTGAATGTAGACTGTAAATTACATAACAGTATTCAGGGTTTAATTTCCTCAATGGTTTCAGACATACACATACATAATGCAAGGGAAAGAGGAACTGAGGGAAGCAGGAAGAGGAAACAATAAAAGCAGATGTGGCAAAATGTTAAAAACTGGTGAATTCAGGTGAAAAGTATAAGTGAATTCAGGAGGTCTCCATATAATTCATGCAACTTATCTGTAATTTTAAAGCTATTTCGAAATAGTTAAAATAGCCAGGCATAGTGGTAGGTGTCTGCAATCCCAGGTACTCGGGAGGCTAAGGCACGAGAATCACTTGAGCCCAGGAAGCGGAGGTTGCAGTGAGCAGCGCCACTGCACCCCAGCCTGGGAATAGAGTGAAAAATAAAAATAATAAATAAATAAATAATAACCAATAAAATAAAATGTCCCAACAAAAAACAGAGAGAAGAGACACATATGTATTGAAATTTCTGAAAGCATATACTCAAACGTAAAGTTGTCAATCAATAAGGAGGCGAAGGAGAGGAAAAGGAGCTGCTCTAAAATATCTTTAAATAAGACTGAATTCCATCCAGTAGCTTTCGTTAAATATATACCCCTAAATCAGGGGTTCCTAATCTGGGACTGAGGTTAGGTGGATTAAATTCTATCCATCAAGAGGTCTGTGGATAGAATTCACTGAGTCTCTGAAGAGAATAGGAAAAAATTACATTTTAATTTCAGAAACTGATTTTTTTTTCTTCAATTACAGATGCAGGCAACAAACAACAGTTTTAGCAATACCTCTGACTTTATCAGGAAGATAAATCACATATATTTTCACTTCACATTAGCTGAGGTTCTCAAAACAGTGTATATCCCTTTCAGCATTTTCATAATACAGTAATTACACTTGCAGTTAAATTGTATTTAAAGTGATATATGATTTTTAAAAAATGCATCACAAATTTACTTTTCAAATATTTTGATAGCTGTATTTCAAAATCACTGTTTTCTTTGTAATCCTATGCACTTAAATTTATTCACTTAAAATTGTTATTCTGGGCCAGGTGTGGTAGCTCACACCTGTAATCCCAGCACTTTGGGAGGAAGATGCAGGCGGATCACTTGAGGTCAGGAGTTTGAAACCAGCCTGGTCAACATGGTGAGACCCTGTCTCTACCAAAAACACAAAAATTAGCCAGGCATGGTGCTGCAAGCCTGCAGTCCCAGCTACTTGGGAGTCTGAGGCATGAGAATCACTTGAACCCAGGAGACAAGAGGTTGCAGTGAACTAAGACCACACCACTGCACTCCAGCCAGGGCAAGAGAGTGAGACTGTCTCAAAAAAAAAAAAAAGAAAAGAAAAAAATTATTCTGAAAAGCAGACCATGGGCTTCAGACTGACCAATGGTTCCAGGGCACAAAAAACTTAAGAATCTCTGCTTGCTCAGAGGTACAGGTCCCTCACTTGTTTACAACTATGTCACAATGAGGGGATTAAAAGTTTACGTTCTTTTTGCTTCGCCATAAAGCAAATTATAAAAAGATACACATCATTGATAATTTTCCATATAACCTTATTATTTAATTTCTAAGTAATTTCCCCTAAGCACCAGCACAAAAATTATTCAAAATAATAACTGTAACCTCACACAGAGTATCCAATAACAAATGTAACACTTACACATGTAAAACATACAGGCACACAGCAACTATAACAACGAAGCAAGACTGTGAAACATTTTATCAAGAAACTCAAGTGTTTATACACTTTAAAAACTTGGTTAAAAACAAGGTACTATTTACCATCTCTCTTTTGGAAAATTTTTTAAAATTTCTTTAATGATTGGCTGGTAACAGGCATCCCTTTCTGCTTTCCCAGTTTCACTCCAGTCTCTCACAAACTGTTTCAATGTGGATTTTAACTTATCCATGTCAAATGTAGATGCTGGCATAATCTTTCCATTCCCCTGTTTAAAAAACAGACATCAATTAGCTTCTGAGAGAGTAATCCACTTTTATTATGGTTAAATAGACATGCTACTAAGGGGCTATATAGGTGGTTTAGTGGATAAATCACTAGCCTCTCACCTCAACCGGGGTTCAAGTGCAGCTTGAGATCCTAAATGAAAAGAGTTTGGTGGTCTCACTGCTACCCTCAAAAGATTAAGGTCCATTAATCATAAAACCACCATATAATTAAGCAGTCTTTACTCAGGAGAGGACCACACTGAGCTGCTATGGAGACTGAACATCCTCTCTAAGAGAGGGAAGAAAGTCCCTCCAGGTCATTGATGGGGCAGCATGGAGAGGCTCACACTGGAGTGGCCCAACTGTATCCATCCTGTGGATACAAAAAGAGGACTTCAGTTTCTATGTACTGCCAGTCCCTTGAGATTTATAAGTGAAAATAATTTCTTACAATAAAAGATGAACAGCAATAGATACAAGACACTGAAAAAATATGAGTTAAGCAAGGGAAGTTAATTTCTAGCTAGTAAAGTTGCTTTTAAAAATTTACGTCACTAACTTTATATCCCAAAACAGAACATTATGTCAAAATGCATCAAAATCCCAACAATTATATTAGTACTTAAAAAAGGAAAACCAGCGAAGAGATCCAGTCTCTGGCATACTGTTCTATTAAGCCTAATCAAATGACTGAACATTTAAGTTATAACTTTCTGAGTAGAGCAAATAGCCTGTGCCAGATATAAAAATGAAATCCAGAAATATTAAAAGACCTCAAAATACAGAGGTTGACCCTAAAATAAACACAAATAGAACAAACTTTCACATACATCTTCTCCATATTCTTTATTTTCAAACATATGTATGCAATCATTCACAATGGTCAGTAGTATTTCTTGATTATGATCAATGCATTTCCGGATCTTGTCCAAGTGAAGAAGAAACTGAGGAAGTAGTTTCTGTTGGTTAGCTGGAAGTGATCGAAATTGTCTTTCTGTTCGGTTCACTCGCTCATGCATACTGGTGCTAAAACATAAAAGGTGTTTTTTAAATTCGCAAAAGAATTCTCACCAGAGGCCAATCTTATTTCAAGGTTGTCTTTCTGTACAATTATTTCCTTCTTACGCTGGATACTGTCCTATCATTTACAATCTCTTGGCTTTTAAAAAGGCATTAACTTAGAAAGTTGTATATGTTTTTACTTTATTACAAATCCTTCTCTAAGCAAGCAAAATACAAATGGTTTATCACTAGTAAAAGTAAACATATGCACTAATTAGAAGGGGGAAAAGAAGACTGATGTACAATTTACTTTTGTGTATTAAACTTAAAATTTTCAGCAAAACCAACTTAATGCTTTAGATTTTTCCATCTTTAAGTAGCAAAATAAATACTGCTGTGAAATTATAATACACACAAAATGTCCTGAAATTAACTAAAAGCAAACCAAGTTGAATTTTTAAAAATATCACAGATCTTATATACTACAAATTACCAAGCAAATAAAAATTGAAATTCTATAGTGTTCTACTTAACAATATCCACAATTTGCATTCCAAAAATGACCCCAAAGGTCACTTTGGGGACCACTTATTCATAAAACCAGAAAACAGAACATCATTTTTACTTATATTTACTTACTATTATTATTTTTGAGAGGGAGTTTCGCTCTTGTCACCCAGGCTGGAATGCAGTGGCACAGTCTCGGCTCACTGCAACCTCTGCCTCCCAGGTTCAAGTCATCCTCCCACCTCAGCCTCCCAAGTAGCTGGGACTACAGACATGCGCCACCATATTCAGCTAATATTTTTGTATTTTTTTGTAGAGATGGGTTTCACCATGTTGCCCAGGCTGGTCTCAAACTCCTGGGCTCATGCAATCTGCCTGCCCTGGCTGCCCAGAGTGCTGCGATTACAGACATGAGCCACCACGCCTAGCCATAAGAACATCATTTTTTAAAGTTAAATATATACTCATAGTATATTATTTTTACATTGACAAGATGACCAAAATTTAAAAGCCTGACTATATCAAATTTTGGTGAAAATATGGTATAATTAGGACATTTATACACTAATGGTAAGTGTATACATTAGTGCAACCACTTTGGCAAATTAAATTTAGAGTATTACCTAGTACAATTTAGCATAGTACTTGCCTTATGACCTAGTAATTATACTCCTAGAAACTCTTGCAAATGGGCCCCATGAAATATGAACAATTTTTGTCACAGTACTGTCAGAAATAACAAACAAGCCAGGCACAGTGGCTCATCCCTGTAATACCTTGGCACTTTGGGAGGCCAAGGTGGGCGGATCACTTGAGGTCAGAAGTTCAAGACCAGTCTAGCTAGCCAACATGGTGAAAGCCCATCTCTACTAAAATACAAAAATTAGCTGGGCATGGTGGTGCCCACCAGTAATCCCAGCTACTTGGAATGCTGAGGCAGGAGAATCGCTTGAACCCAGGAGACAGAGGTCGCAGTGAGCCGAGATTGCACCACTGCATTCCAGCCTGGGTGACAGAGGAAGACTCCATCTCAAAAAAA